GATTTAGATAATTTTTAAATTATAGTGGCATGATTAATATATATAATTTGTCTAAAATGCATTTTTAGATTTAAAGTGTATTTCATATAATTTTTTCTTGGTTTTTTAGAAAAAAAACTCAAATTAATTAATTAATAGTTGAAATTCAAATGTAAAAAACAAAAAGAATATGGTTACTCTGCGCGCGAGGCTCGTATTCAAAGGCTAGCCATGCATAGCATATAAATAAAAAAAATATTTAAGAAGGAGAAAAAAAGAATTCACGTATTTTATTTATTTCTTCTTTATATAATCAAAATTAATCAAAATCAATTTTGCAAGCTCCTCTTCCTTTTACTCGTAATTCTCGTTAGAGAATTGTAGCGTACATCCTCCCGTCATGCCGCACCTACAAAACAAATCTCAAATTTAGTCAATATGTTCATTGCAAGTTAACTTTTTTTTTAATAGCGTTTTTTTGTTTTATGTTAAAAACTTTGAACTCACTTAGTATAGTTATGATGTACAAAAAAAATATTGAATCATTATTTTTTAAAAATTAACTATGCAACTACTACTACATTAAGCATTTACTAGTTATTTATTTATTTATTAATATTTTAAAATTAATTTATTTTAAATTAAATAATTAAAATTATGTTTTGGCTTAACCACTCAATGATTCAAATTAATATAGTTTTTCATTTTGATATTATTCATTTTTTTGTGAATAAATATATAAAAATTAAATTCACATTCTTTCAAAAATCGATATTCGATCAACATTAAATAAAAATAAAAAATAATTTTTTTGTTCAATTCTATGTAAGTTTTTATTAATTGTTATTTTAGTTTTTCGACACAATCTTATGAAATGTTAATGATTTTTAAAAAAATTTATTTATTTTTTAGTTAATAATCCATGAATTAACAAGGATAAATCTTTTTTCGTAAAAAAAATTATTAAAAACACAAATAAGAAATAGTTAAATACAAAATTTTGATTAAAAAATTATAAACATTTTTTTTCACCTTTGATTTCATATATTTTTATAGATTAACACCATAATACGAACTATTAAACTGAAATAATTTTTTTATATAATTTCATATATTTTATCTAACCTGCAACGATAGCGCGAATTAAAAAAAAACTAGTATATCTCTAAAACGATAGTCTAAAAATCTCAACATATAGGTTGGTTTTTTTTTTTTTTTTTTAATTTGTAGTTAGAAGGCTTTGTTATCTTAATGTATTACATCAATATAATAAATGTGTCCTTAAAATTACTATAAAAAAAAAGAATTTAGTTTCAATTTCTTTCTAAACATCCAAATATACATTTGACTGTTCAATGAATAAAAAAAATAATACTCCCACCATTGTACCAGTAATTTATATGACGGCTGCATTTAATATAATTAGATGAACGTAATTATCTTGAAGATATTTATGTTTAATTCTTCACTCAATTTAATTTGAATCTCAATCTGATTCAATCTCCTTTCAAGAAAAAAATTTCGGATTTTATATTCTTAAAAATTACATCGAACCAGCTCATTGGTGGCTTGGAGGGTGTAGTGTTCTATTTAAACTGACAAGCCAAGCTGGACCACCTTGATTCAGTTTGGTTGGTTCAGTACACTTGGTTCTATATATGATTCGTATTGATATCAGTTGGGTTTGGGTTTGGAAACAAAACTAGTCCAGAAAACAATTTTCTTTTCTTCTTTTTATTTTTCTCAAAAAAAAAATCTGAATAAATTGAAAATCAAGCCAAATAAACCCAATAAAATATTCACATATTTTTAAATTTATTGCAATTAAATCCAAACCAGCTGGAATGGAAATCGATAGTCTGACTATCAAACCATTTTAAATTGATGTCAAATTAAGACAATATATGCAAGATATTGTCCAAATCCACCAAATCCGATCCGTTGGATTCGCGGGCCAAGTGTAGATCTATTTTTAGAATAAAGATTAAAACCTTCAGGTTCTAAAATTATGCACTTATCACTTTATTGTTTTTTTATTTATAGTTCATATGTAGCAAAACATACATATATCATAACACAAAAAATCTAATGATCCAATCAATAACTTTGTGGTTGAAGTAATGACCTAACGACTTTAATTATTGAGTCACTATCTGAATTGGATTACTAAATTCGTGGCTACAATCTGATTATGCCAGTAATTAAGCCTACGTAGGTGGCGATTATGTAAAACTAGCCCATAAAATTTGCATGAAATAAATTTTGACTGTCTTTAAATCACACAATTTGAGCTAATGTTCATCAAGTCAATCTTGCAAAGTCGATCTCAATGGGTTTTTTTTTTTTTTTATTTAGAAGTTTCAATATGTATTGAATTATATAACGAGAATAGTTATATTATATTATATTATATTAAAAATATATATATATAAATGTTGAGATTCAGATCTTAATTCAAGCCATCTCGATCTTTTTTTTTTTTTTTTACAAAAAAAAAAAAAAAACGACAAGATGTGGTAGAGTTGGCAGATGTAACAACAATATAATTTTTGAATTATTTAACTCGGGTGTCTACAAGTGCAATGCCTCATGAACGATGAAACGTTGCATTTTTCACTTTTTTTAGATACAGGAAACTAGGTATTAATGTGTTGCTTTGCCTTCTCTTGTTTGAACGGATGCAGGCCATTGAATCTTAGTGCATCACTTGATCGACTGACCACCTTCATTTTCACATGCATGTCCTTTTCTTTTGTTAATGATTTTTAGTATATCTGCGTTTGAATTTCAGATCAGCATCTAAATTCTCATTTATCTTTTTTCACCTAATTAAGGCAACTCCAATTGGCGAAAAGAGAAGTACTACACTTGACCGTGTGTGGACAACTGCCATGATCAGATCATCCAAACATTGTTCAAACACCGAAAGAAGATCCACTAATTTTCCGTGTTACCAAAGGAGAGCCCATTTGTCATCTTTAATGGCAGATGTCACTAATCTCTCTCTCCCTCCCACCCTCCAGGAACCAAAGTAAGATAATCCTCGTTTTGCAAGATGAGCTTTTTGGATTATACTACAATCTGTTGGATTATTTTTTATAAAATATAAATATTATTATTAAAATAATGATAAAATATCTAATGCATGTTAACGAGGTACATTAAATGTTATGGTTTTAATAATTATATTTATTTTAATAAATTAACAAACGGTTACATCATTATACAAAAAGTTTTTTAATAGTTTTTATAATAATTAATTGCACTTAATAATTGTAATTATTTCTTCTCAAACGGATTTCTTAGAAAACCTATATTGAGGCTCTTGTTTCCTTGGTTAAAAACCACAACAACACTAATATTTTATGTATTTGCTTATTAGAGAGGAAAATATAATTGTTATTTATATTATCTTTAGGTAAGAATGATGCTGATATGTTTAGAGTCTCAAGTTTTACAAACAAGTGCAAAATTGTTAAGATACAACAAGGTAATTGAGCTCGTTGTATCTATAAGATGACTTGCAATATATTTTTCATCCGTTACATCGGATAAATTCTATGAATGACGTGTATCGTCTCAAAAAAGCAAGTTGATTATACCTCGAGTCGATCACCTAAAAATTATGATAAAACTATTTGATGGTTTGATCATTTTTATACCATAACATATGGTAACGTGATTTTAATCTCGAATTCTTTGACGACTAAGGTAAAAAGTTTCAATTCTTTTGTCCATCTTAATTTACGATTTATTTATTGTGTTAATTTTTATTATTTAATTATGTTCTTTACGTGTGCCAAGAATAACAATTTGAGACATTATAATATCTACGATTTAATTATTAAAATTGAGAAAAGAATTTAGGCAAGAGAATTTAATGTTATGCCTTTTATAATGTTAATGCCGCTTCTTGGCTATTGCTTTGGTTTTTTATTATCATGAATTAATTAGAGTTTTATGTTTTCACAGAGCATAATGAAAGTATTAAAATAATAATCATGATAATTTGCATGTCAAAGATATTGATCCATATGTTAATTTTTTGTAACTTACTATTTCCTTTCAAATATTATTATTCAAGGTCAATAATATTGATAGTGTTGAAAATTAATATTAGTGACATTAATCATGTCGTTAATTTATTTATGTAGATTTTATTATTGGTACAGATTTAAATAATTTTAAAAAATATATAAATTGATTTATATTGTTTAATGATAATTGACGACCATAAGGCCATTCTTATGAGTCTTGAAATGAAAATTTTAAATGTTGATAGTAATGAAAACTTACACACAAATAAATGCTTTAACGTTGGACATTGCAAAAAGATATCTTGCTGTTAGATTCTAGACAATCTATCTACTACATTAACAAAAGCTCCTTTCTCATAATCTGTCTTAAAATCCTAATCCAAACTAATAATATCAAAAGAAAAACAAAATCCAGTTACACAAGAAAGGTTGACATACAAAGTTGCTTGTGGTGGTTTAATTGAAGCCTCTTTAGGTGGTGAGTGAGGTCACTTCCTAACTAAGGCTGTGGGCCAAAAAGTCAGTGGACAACACACACATGCACAAATGCGGAGATGCCGCCTAACCAGATCGCCTATCATTTATTATTTCTCCTTATTTTCTACGCTTTCTTCGTTTCTGTCATGGATTCTCTAACTGACAGCCTTTTTTAAATAAAATAAACTAAAATAAAATTTTCTCTGCTGACTCCATGGCTTACTTTTTTACTACAAAAGGACATAAGAGCATCCGAAAAACAGACAAAACCCATTACGCCAAGTAACCTTATCATCTTATTTTCTTTGTTCTAGAGAGAGAAAGTGTGTTGTAGTGAGATAAAATTATTCACTGGACATTGAAAACAACCGCTGAGTATATTATAGTTTTGTGTACCTTTTTTTGTTTAAAGAGAGAGATATAGAATGATCTATTGTTGGGCAAAGAAAAACTGAGATTTCAACACCCTTTGTTGTTTAAGGAACAGTCTTGTTGAGTTGAAACAGAATGGTGGGTATTTTCTCAAGATTTTCTGTCGGTAGAGGCGGCCATAGAAGAACCCAAAGTGCCCTTGTAAGAACACTCCTTTGTTTTATTTTATTTTATTTATTTATTTTTAGTCTCTCTCCTGCTATGTAATATTATTTGAAGATTTTTTCTGGCTTTTGTTTCGTATTGATTTTTTTTTTTTAGTAGTACTATTATGCTTAAAATCTCCATTGCTTATTAAGGCTTCTGGAGTTTATGGGAGTGCTGTACTTTGGAAAATTGGAAATTGATTTCTTATATGGGTTGACTTTTTCATTTGGCTCTGTAACTTGTCAAGTCTTTAAATTGTGATAATTTTCTCTATCTTTATCGGTTATTTTGATGTTGGCTTCGTTTGTACCGATATCCTTTTGTCTTAGCGAATATGATTACTTGCCTTGATGGTGTTATTTTTATCTTGATTGCCTGCTCTTGGACTATTTTCATCAAATTTCAGTCACTGTTTGATCCTTGATAAGTCAATTTTTTAGCACAAAGTGTGGATACTACAAAGATTGTATCTAGTTTCTTCACGTAGCAAGTGGTATAATGTGTTGCTTTTTTTTTTTTTCCTGATGCTAGTTCCTTTCTTTCTTTTTTGTTTTTTCATTTCCTTATGCGTTCTGATGTGTTTATCTGCGTTAAATTATTAGCTGCCACTAGTTGTCAAACTATTCAAGTGTTGATACTATGAGTGGCTTGATGGGCTGCAGGATGAGAGGGAAGTATTGCCCCCAAATGTAGATGTTGCCGCAGCGGCTGCTGTCACTGCTGCTGCTTCTCATGGAATTGAAGTATCAGTGGAGTTTAAGCCAGTTGAGCATCCGATTGAGCCTCTCGACAATGATCCACCAATTCAATGTCCGCAACCTGAACCTTCAATTCTTAATGTAAGCTTGATTCTTGTTTGTTTCTGAAACATTTTGTACTGTCTTAACAGCTTGTGTCGAAGAAGATTTCTCTCTCTTTTTTTTATTTTTTATTTATTTTTATTTTTTTATTTTTAACCTAGAGAAGGTTTTATCACTGAGTTTTGGTTATGTCATATTTCAAGTTCCTAATGTATGTAGACCATCCGCTCTGGTTAGGCCATAATGCTTTTCAGCACAAATTTCTGAAGAAAATTAGTTCATTGTGACAAAAGCCACATGACTTGTATGAGAATTATGACATGGTTTCGAGCTGTGGGAGGGGGTTCTGTATGATTTTTTTCCTTTTGTTGGGGTTTAAATTTTTGTGCATGAATCTGCTGCAACTATAGAAGATCTCCACTGTTTTATTTCACAAATCTATTTGTTTTAGGTGGTTTTGAGATTCTAATTTCAAGTTTCGCTATATAGGATGGAAGATTGTGGAAGGAGCGAGTTTCTGCAACTGTACGTAGAAGAGGTGAGTTGCCTGTCATGAAAGAAGGTGGGGCCCTTGAATCTGAATCTGTTGAGTCAGGGCCACGGCCAAACCAGGCCAATCGATTGATACTGCCTTCTGTCAGTGCCCCTGAGCATCATTTACTAAAACTACTTGAAGAATGTAATGCATCTGGGATCTAAAACCTGGTATCAATTTCTGATTGGAATTCAGCTCTGTGTTGTTCCATACAAAATTTGATGTCTCTCTCTCTCTCTTTTTTTCCCCTTTCTTTTCTTGTCCCCTGCTTTATTTGCATTTGCTTAAGTTCAATGGAGTATATGTAATTACCAATGAACCATAGCAACATTACACCTTTTCTATGCATATGTTACAAGTCAATGTTGGGCGTAGAAACATTCTCGAAATTTGCTAGATGTAGTCATCTATTGCAGCTTATGGAAATAGTTAATGTTCATACTCAACTTGACAACGGAGTTTCCAGAACCTGCTGTTGGCATCATCATTTCAGTCCTTGTCAAGATCCTTATTGTATTACGTTGTGCATTTTGTTGAGCACAACAGAGACTGCATCAGGAAATTGAGGTTTGGAAGGAATCTAGAATGTACCAGCTGTCTTGCATCAAACTGTCAGCCTTCACCTTAGTGTGCTTTTTTTCCGTCCAGAACATGATGTTTGTGGATCAATCCACTCATTTCCTTGATGTCGATGCAAGCCTAAAGGATGCATCTTGAGGGTTCAAGATTAACGTAACGTTTGTGGATCAATCCACTCATTTTCTTGTTGATGACAACCAAAAGGAATCATCCTGAGGGTCCAGGATTTATGAATACGATTTTGGACGACTGTACAAACTACAGGTATTCAGTATTCATATTAGTTGAGTCTGGGCACCAGTTGTTACGGTGATTGCTTGTTACTGGTAAATATTCCTTGCATAAATGGGTGGTCTTGCTGAATTCAACTAGGATTCAACAACGATTGTGCTGATTTGTTATGATGGCTGTATCCTTTTATCTATTGCACTCTGTATGATGTTTGTAGAATGATTTTGTAGGACGGATCCAACTCTAGCTGTGACTTGTGATTTATCAAAAAGTAAATTCTTATAGCGTGAAATATAGAACGAAGAGCATTGATCACCGTTTGGTGATGTTATTTGTACATTCTATGTGCGCCAATTCTTCATGCTATACAGCACATGATTCTTTGTTAAAATCTACCCAACTAGACATTTGTTATGCAAATTATTGTTATTTGATGTTTTGTTGGTTAATATTTGCTGTTAACAACATTATAGAGGGAAAAGATGGTGGATTGATTTAGCACTCTGTTTGTTAGTTATCTGGTTATTGAGAAGAGATGAATGTTACTTCCTTGACAGGTTGAAACGGTGCATTAAACCCAGGTAGAAATCAAATGAAATAGTTTGCCAAATGTTCCCCGGAAAAAATGAGATGAAAATCCCAATATAAAGCAAGGTTATGATGCTGCTAGAAGATCAAAATGAATTTTAAGTTCATTTTTTTCTGAATGCTGTCCCTCGGCTATGATGATCTGCTAAGCGGAAGAGTTTGCTGGAAAACGGACAGCATGGTGATGTTGAAGCTTTGTAAATTTTTTCAATCGAACTTGCACCTGGAAATCTCATATAAAAGTCAACCTCTCTTAACTGTTGTGAATGAATTCAGAAAACTAATCTCAGTAATTGACATATTACAAATAACCCTTAAAGGGATTCAAAATTAGATATTAGTCCATGATGATAGCAGAGCTACAGAAGCATACATAAACATCAAGAAATAAACAACAGAGGCGGAGGAGGAGGAGGAAAACATGTGAAGACAACCTAGATGAAGGGGGAAAAAACAAGAAACGCTATACAGTCAACTTGGGAACTTCGAATGGATGCGCCACCGTTGGAGGAGGAGGAAGAAAACTTGTGAAGACAACCCAGAAGAAGTGGGAAAAAACAAGGAACGCTATACAGGCAACTTGGGAACTTCAAATGGATGCTCCACCGTTGGATTGACAAGGTGCTTCCGAGGACCCCGTGCACTTCCGTGATTTATTCTCTGCCATGACCGGTACGATTTTGCAATATTGTATTTCCTGGCAGCTTCACCAGCAACTGAATGAAATGATACTGATGAGGTGAGAACAATGAGGAAAAGAACAAAGGATGCGAGTATGGTCTTAACCTGCACCATTGTGTTTTGTTGGTTGATGCCTTTCTGTCTTGGGAAGGAGAGTGGGGTTGATAAAGAACTTCAAACCTCAAAAGGGATTATCAGCTTTGCGTTGCTTGGAAGTCACATGGATAACATTTGACTTGCATTCCATAGATATTGATTGCTTGTGGGAATCATCATTGGTTTTGGTTGGTTTGTGTTAGTGGGGTTGGTTTGTGTGAGTTGTTGTTATTATTCTGTTCGAGGATTCTTCACCCAAATACGAAATTAAATGATTAAATATCCATTAAGGCTGTGTTTGTTTTGGAGAAAACAAATTCTAAAAACTTATTATTTTTTTTTATTTTCTCTCATTTTTTTAATATTTATTTTGCATGTAGAAAAAAGAAATTTGATTTTTAGTCGACGAAAATTAATAGACTATTTATGAGAAAATGATTTTTGAGCTAAAAAAGAAAAAATTGTTTCTCTCTCACGAGCTATCTCGCTCTCGCGTTACTCATCTCTTTCACGATATATTTTAACATTTTTTTCTCTCGTTTTCTTTTTTATTTAAAATATATCAAGTTAATATTTAATCATTTCTTATCAATTATTAGTAATTATTTAATTATTTTTTTCTCTATTTCTACACATTTGATTTTTTGATTTATAAATACATTAAATATTCTTAAAAACCATTTTTACATCTTAAAATTATTTTTATAATAAATATCTCAATAATGTATCTCTATTTTTTTTACGATTATCCCAAACACCACCTAAATTATACTTAAATTATTAAAAATTATTATTACAAGACTACAATGATTTGTGAAAATTTTGAAACTAATTAATTCATTAATAAATATATTATTTTTTCAACACTATTTATTTGCAACTAAATCAATAATTTATGACTAATTTTAATTAGTTGTAAAATTTTGTTGGTAATTGTAGTCAATAATTAGTTACAAATTATTCCAATATTAATCTTTTGAAACCAAATGAATAATTATTTATAAATGATAACTAGTAATTTGTAAAACTATTTTTTAGATTAAATTATTAGTTCAATTTGTTTTTTAAAAAAAGAATTCTTAATTGAGTTACTAAAATAACAATGCTATGATTACTTAGAAATTTTTTTTACTAAACATGAATATTGACTTGATTTTGTCCCGAATAGTTTTAATGAATTGGTTTGATGGTTAAAAATATACATTTTATTTTTTAATTTTTTGAATTTAAATCTTAGAGTTAATATTTATAAAAAATTATTAATTTTTTTCTAAATGCAACTTAGTGATTTTAAGAATGTATTTTTAAAATCTTTTAGAAAAAGATTTAGTTTCAATTGTAAATTGATTTTAAAATATTTCCTACATCCGAATTAAAAAAAAATTATGGTTCAAATGATATTTCAATATCATGGGTCTTTGTCTCAATATATTCTTGATTATAACTAATACTTTCTGTTTTGGTACACCAACATATTAGTAACTCATATGCTATGTTTTGGTAGCTTTTTGTATATAGATTATTATGGGTGGGGTCTCTTAATAATTTTTATATTATGAGATTATGAATATACCTTATCGAAGTTCTCTTAAAACTCGTTGATGTAACGATCACAACTCGGTTTTTGTATTTCAATTTTTTGTATCAAACAAATACTAAAATATATTTTTCAGCAGCTTTTTTAGATAATTACCAAACATCGGAAAATATTTTTTTTGAAAAATAGCTTTTCTAGAATTGCTTTTTCTATTGGAAGTTATTTTTCGCCAAACAAACGGAGCCTATGGCAATCTAAGAAATCATGTCTACTAGGTGCATGGCTAAGTTGGAGGGCTCAATAACCAACCCCTTCTCCGAACTCTCCTATCTTCCGATTCCTACCTCCTCCTTTTCAAATTGCTTTCCAAATCTAAAACTAGAGTATTGAATGGATCACCTCAACACTAATTCTTTCAACTCGAAAATGGCCCTCCGAAATTCTTTTTGCTTTTTCCTTTCAATTGTGCAAAATTTTCATTAATTCATGTAGATTTTGATTCGTGATCACCATATTTGTTACAACAGTGGTTGGCAACTCAAGTGAATGTTCATCATATTTGTAGAGAAGGTAATAAAGGTGCTAAAAATAATTAATTAGTTCTTTTTTATCATTTTATTTATTTATTTATCAATTTATTTTGTTTTAAAAAAATATGAAAAGAAAAAAAAATATGATAAGATTGATGAAAAAAAAACATAATTTAAAATAAAATAATATTAAATTAAACTTAGTTAACGTTCAATAAGAGACAAATTAATTAATTTTTATGCTAAAAAGACTATCAATTAATTTTGTAAAATTAGGAAAACTAATTTATAATTACTTTTATTTTGGTCATGTTTCGTTTCTTTTCATGTAATTCTCTTTCAAGATCTTTTAGGGTTCAAATCCCACATTGTAGAGTGTAATTTTATTTATTTGTTTAATGTTATGAAATAATAAATATCCATGTTCATTTCATATTTTCATTACTTATAATTCTTAATGTGATTCAATTCATCATTTAATATAGAAATTGAAAGGGTGATGCATTTGCTTCAACCATTTATGTACTTTTAATTGTTCATAGTCACTTTCAATTTTCTTTCTAATCTTAAAACCTATAAATAAGCTTGATTGTTCATTATTTTGTGGTGTGTTTGTTTTTATAGATATTGAAAGAGCTTGTTTTGGAATTGCTATCGCTTGTATTCATTTTATTTCTAAATAAATTCATTTTTTTATTATCTTTCTCTCCAATTCAATCATTGTTATCATTTTTTATAATATGTTATCGGCATGAAGCTCTAATTAATTGACCGATGTGTTCTATCGCTAACAAATTAGATAATTTATATTTTCCTTATTGAACCCAATCACATGACTCGTAGTTAGGGCTTGCAAGAGTCAAACTCAAAGGAGAAAAAAAGGCTAAATGGATCTTTTTTTTTGTTTGAGTGTTCTCGTAGTGTAAAAGGGTGTTTATGTGTTTGGAATGCTTAGAAATAATTGAAAGTAATAAAGAATAACACTATTAAAGAAGCCTTGGTTGAACTTCAGTATCCACTTTTAGTTTGATCATTGATTATCGATTAAATAATTAACCTATCCTAAACATGAATATTCATCGTAAGACAACAACATGTATTTTGTTCCTAATCTTTTCTTACATAGTCGTTAACCGAATATATGATACCCGATTAATTTCCTAGTTACTAAATAACCTACTAAATGCTAGATAGATCTAATCCAATAACAACATTAATCGAGAAAGACAAGTGAAGCTAAGCCGCATTCCTAAGCACTAGAGAAGATGTAACTTAGTTCTATATTCTTTAAGAACTTAAATAAAACGTAAAAAATAATCATCAACCCCTAGTTACTACCTTAGGCAAATTTAGACAAGCAGTTATAGGGATTTGAATACTTGGCTAGCAATAAGTTAATACAATTAAACAATTAACATGTAATCTAATCAGCTTAATCATGCATCTATAAACCAATCATACGGAAAAATATAAAATACTCAAACAAGATAGTTTAGAAATAAAAATCGTTAATATCTCACAATGATTTAACCAAAAGCTTCAACTTTCCTTCAACCAAGAAAGGGTTTATTTAAAGTTGCAAGGTTTTGCTTATAAGAGTGGTATGGCTCAAAAGACAAAACTTGATTGTAAGGTAGAGAACATGAGGCTTCAATATGGAAAACTCTCTCCCTACTAGAGAGTCTAAAAAATTTGAAATCTCTAAATTAGAGAGAAGTACTAAGAAAGTTCGGATAAGGGATAAAGATGAAGATCAAGATAACACACAGGATTAGGAACCACAACCGAATGTTTGGAATTTTTAGAAAGCAATGATAGAGGGTAAAGATGGGGACAATCCTCAAAATTTTGAATGGAAATCGTTGGCTAGTATCATAGTGGAAGAGGGTAATATTAGAATTGAAAAAAAAGATCATGTCAAGACCATAATTCTCTCGACCCCTTTTAAGGAACGCTCGAAGAAACTATGGGAACTATCCGTAGTGATTAAGGTTCTTGGCAAAAGTGTGGGTTATAGAGCACTATGTATTCGCCTCGAGACTATCCGGAATGCCGCTAAGCCTTTAAGAATAATTGATAAGGAAATTGATTTTTCCTTAGTTCGATTTTCAACTCAATCTAATAATTTACATGCGTTGGTGGGGATCCTTTGGCTATTCTTGGTCACCGCCTAACTATCTAACCATGGGATCATAACTTTAGAGCCTCTAAAAGCAAGATTAAATGTGCAATTATGTGGGTTAGGTTCTCGAACCTACCTTTAGATTGATATCATCCTCATATACTAAAGGCTATGGGAAACATGATTGGTAACACTATCATGATTGATTATAATACACAAACGAATTTAAGGGCTAAGTTTGCAAGAGTGGCAATTGGCATCGATCTTGATTTACTAGTGAAAAGCTCCATATGGATTGAAGGGATGCTACAAAAAGTTACCTACGAAGGAATACCGTAAGTTTGCTACGATTGTGAGGGCATAGTTCTTTATTATGTCCGACCAAGAACATGGTGAATGACAACAATGAAAAAGGAAGCAAGGGAGAAGAAGCATTGAATGAGAAAGATAAATTTCAGAAACCATTAATCTCATCACTTAATGGTGATGGAGAGAGTTATGGCCCTTGGTTACATGCACAAACTATGCTTAGACGGAGATCACGCAGAGAAGAAGGGGAGGATCCAAGAAAACTATAAAAATATTCCCAAATACTCGGATCCCGTTTTGCCATTTTAAAAGAAATAAAAGCTAAGTTACATGATGGAAGATAGAGTAGGCAAGCAAGGCTAACGAAAAAAATAGATTTTTACAAACCGAGCCCATCGTGAGTCATCCCGGCTCCACCTAGAAAAACCCAAACACGGACCCACTACTTATTGCCCATCCAATAGCATTTTTGAAACAAATCCTAGCTATGGGCAACATGTCTAATAGACCCAATCGCCCTACCAAAGCCAAGCCCATTTCACTTCACTACATGCTCATCTAGAAAAGACCACGCACAAACCCATTACACTTGACATTTTCGATGACTAATTTAATACATTTTTTATTAACCCCACCGTCCAACTTACCTAACAATATCAAAGCTACCCGAAAGCTTTTTAAAGGCAAAATGAAGTCTGCAGCTATGGTAGAGAAAGGTGAAATAGAGATGGATGTTATAGAAGACATGAAATACATAGTAGTAACAATCGTGGAGGACAATGATAGAGACCTAACTATGGTTTTTGTAGAAAGTGGAGGAGCCATAGAGTCGAGGGTGACTATGGAGACAAAGGAATCCTCCGTAGATGAATCATACAAGACATCAAAAGAGGCCGATAATCCAAGAGCCATTGAAGAACCATATAATTTAGGGGCTATATCCGAAGAAGAGGTAGGAACCGATCAAATATACCATCCCCATCCGAAAAACCTCCCGTAAAGTTTCGAAAACTAGCAAGAATGTGAAGTCGAAACAAGCCTTCTTAGGGTCTTTTGAAAAGGATGGGTTTTTTTTTATGATTCTTTAGCTACTAATGAGTTTGTTCACATTGAGGATGCATGTGTTCCTCTCCTACGGTATAGCTTGATTTCGTATAACTTAGTTGGGTTATGATGAATATTATGTTTTGGAACTATCAAGGAGCTTGACATCGGCTATTTCGAGCTACTCGTATGGATTTGATTAAGATACATAGACACAATATCTTGGTAATTTTTGAACCAATAATTAATGGAGCTCGGACGGTACAATGATTAAGAAGTCGAGCTTTCCTCGTTCACACATAATTGAAGCACAGGGGTTCTCGGTGGAATTTGGCTTTTGTGGAATAATGGAGATGTCTCAGTTGAGGTGTTAGTTAATAATAACCAATTCATGCATCTTAGGGTGAAGTGTGATGGAATGCATTTTCTTCTTTCAACCGTTTATGCCAATCCTAGGGGACACATCAAAACCAAACTCGTGAAGGGATTTAAGAGAGCTTTTGATTAGATTATAGAACCATAGGTGTTAAGAGGGGACTTCAATGCTATGATATTCGAAAAAGAAGAAAGGTGGGAGAGGTTTCAATAATTACAATAGTCATGCTTTCGACTTGTGCTTAAATGATTATGGGCTATTGGATTTAAGGTTCATAGGACCAATGTACACTTGAAAAAAGGGGTTGTTGAAGAACATATTGACATAGTTATATGCAACACAAAATGGTAGTTACAGGTTCCCGAATGTACGGGTTTGCTATAGTGATAATAGCCAAATGTGTTCCCTCATTTTGTCCTACTATAGAAAGTCGTTTACAAAAGAAGATGTATCTACTAGGGAGGTTTTAAATCATTGATCTTTCCTTTATGTGTCGTTTGAACTTATGCAGTAGTTGCACACTTTAATTTCGGATATGGAGATAAAAGAGGCTCGTTCGGCATGTAGCCATAAAAAGCTCCTAGGGTAGATGGCATTCATGCAACCTTCTACCGATCATAGTGAAAAATTGTTGGGAAATCTTTCTATAAGTACGTCCAAGTAAATTTTCAAGAATGAGATCTAAGATACCGATCTTTCTAAAGCTCGTTAATCCCGATACCAAATGTTGATGTCCTTGAGATGGCCAATCAATTCCGCCCAATAGGCCTATGCAATGTATCTTACGGAGTTTTGACAAAGGTCATTGTGAATAAGCTAAAACCTATTCTTCCTTTTGTCATTGCCCTTACTCGGAGTTAGCTTTGTTTCGAGAAGGAAAATTACGTGAAAACATCATCGCGTAAGAAGTCATACATTCCATGAACAAGAAAAAAAAAAGAAAAAAAAAGATGGATGTCAATAAAGGTGGATTTGAAAAAAAGCTTATTATAGGCTTCGATGAGGGTTTGTGTTGGACACGTTATTAGATCTGCGATTGCCTTACCCGTTATGCTCTTTAATTATAAAATGCTTGTCATCAACTAAATTAGAAATTGCTTTCAATGGGTTGACCATATATGCTTTTAAGCCAACCGGAGGTATCCATCGGGGGATCCGTTGTCTCCTTATCTTTTCGCGCTTTGTATGGAAAGATTGAGTCATCTTCTTCAAAAGCCTATTTAAGAGAACAAATGGAAACCAATTTACTTAAGCAAAAGAGGACCATCTATTACACATTTGTTTTTCGCAAATGACTTGATTTTTCGACGGTAGGAGAGAGTGATCGATTGAATGTCATGTTGAAGGCTCTCAATAAATTTTGTTTAGCTTCGAGTCGAAGGTTAACGTGGCTAAGACTCGACCCTTTTGTAGTCGGGATGTATCGAAAAGGAAAGCCAAAATGCTCAACAAGCAATCGTGGTTTCATTTGACGGATGATTTGGGAATGTATTTATGGGTGCCCCTTCATCATAACCAAGTCGGTAAGAATACTTATGAACATGTAGTGAAGAAATTTTGCTGGAGTTTATCGGGTTGGAAGGCTAAATAGTTGACAATTACAAGAAGAGTAACTTTAACTCAATCAAGTATTTGCTGTGATCCCTATCTATAGCATGCGGACCACTCGTCTCTCAATAACCACTATAAAAACTATTAAAAAGCTTTATAGAGACTTTGTTTGGGGTAGTTCGGATAGCCATCAAAAAACTCATCTCATCTCTTGGGATAAAATCCGCCTATATTAAAAGCATGGGGGACTTGGATTACAAAAGTTGACGAGTTGTGAATAATGCCTTGTCGATGAAAATGGGATGGAAAATCATATATGCCGACTTTTCCTACTAGGTTAGTATTTTATACGAGTAAGTATAAGGTTAATATGCAACGGAGACCTCCTTCTATCTTGCGGGTTGGTTGCTCCAATATGTGGGAAGGGTTATCCAAAGTTTGGATTGATATTTGGAAATTTATTTGATGGTCTATTAGTAATGGTCGAATATTGGTTTTTGGATAGACTACTAGATCTCTTCGATTGGTTATCTAAAAAACCATGCATTGATACCCATAGTTGCCGAGTTCACCATGAACAAGGTTGGAGAGTATGTCACATGTATGGGGTAGTGAAAGTGGGAGATTTTTGGGAATTTACTTCCAAATGAAATTTGTTTGAAAATTACAAGTGTGCCTCTCGCTAGTTCCATCACAAAAGGAAGACAAGCCTTTTGGTCCCTAATCGGTAATGAGGTATTTTCTACAAAGTTAGCTTATGAAACTTATTAACTAGTGAATATAAATAACTAGGACAATTAGGATCTAGTGTGAGGATGGAAAGGACCTTATTGCATTCGAACCTTTTTATGGCTTGAAATTCACGATAAACTTCTTACCAACGTGTAAAGAATGCAAAGGAACCAAACATCAAATCCTTTTTGTAGCCGTTGTCATACCGATCGAGAGAACATTACTCATGTTCTAAGAGATTGTCGTATCGTAGCTTCATGTTTAACATGAAGTGGGAGCAAGGAATATGGTTAATCATTTTTTCTCTCTTAATATTAAGGAATGGTTCCGTACATACTTAGAGAAATCTAATTCCGCTAGTCTAAAAGCGAGTGTCTTAGAGCACTTGTTTTGGAGTTTATTGTCTGGTATGTTTGATCTTGGAGGAATAAATTCATTTTTGATGAAAACTTCATTATGCCTAATAGGCCAATTGAAGTCATTCATACTTTTTGTAATAATATTACCGAGCTTTGAGATGACTCATGGGTTAATTAGGTCTAATGGGAGGAAAGTCAAAAATATGGTTGGATGGGTGAAACCAAGAACATGTTAGGGGAAACTTAATATAAATGGTGTTCTTCGAGCATCAATTGACGTTGCGACTGGTCGGGGAGTCCTCATAGATGATACAGGATCTTGGTTACATGGGTTCTCTTATCGTACGGGGATTTATACTATCTTATATGCAGAGATATGAGGTATAGTAGTTAGGCTGAAAATGGCTTGGAAGCTAGGATATCCATAAATTATTTTAGAATCGGATTCTTTAACTATAGTTAACTTAATTCTATCTTCGAAGGTTCATTGTGGTCTATATCATCGCTTGACCTCCATAATTCTTGGTTGGCTTCATAAACCTTGGCAAGTGCAGAGTTAATCACATTTATAGAGAAACCAATCGGGTGGCTAACTCGTCTTGCATCGTATGCTTATTCTCTTCTTTTAGGTATTTTTTTTCAGCAGACCTAGTAGAATGTTGTAACCTCCTTCGAGAGGATGTTTATGAAGTTTCTTTCCCTCAATCTTTATAACAAGTATATGTTTTATTTAGAGCTTAGCCTCTTCCATGAATAACAAAAAAAAAAAGAATGGTGTGGTCGCTAGAATTTAAAGATTTCTCAAAATAAAACCCTAACTTATCTACTTATAGCCAAAAGTAGGGTAACACACACATACATGATAACTCCACATGGCTAGTTTGTTGTGATACATGGTTTGTTTGACAAAGAAACATGGCCATGTGCCTTTTACACTTTATCTCATTCTTTGTTTGCTTCATCCCATATCCCTAGCTACCGACCGTGTGATTTTTGCCTTCATCCCTCGTCCTAAGCTTCTACCTATGTGGAATTTATACTTCATCCCGTGTCTCCGAATAATAAGCTTAAATGAACTTGATAAAGGACGAATTAGGATTTCTATTCTTTATGAAATTTATAGCCTTATATTTTAGATTTCCAACGTATTAAGGCTTGTATAAATTAGATATCTACAACTTCAGTTATGAGTGAAATAATAAGACTAACTCAACTTGTCTATCTAGCCTTCGAATTCCACTTTGCAGCCTTAATGCCTTCATGATATAAACCTAGTTTGGACTTAAGACCTTCATAAGACTTGTACGTATGCCTCTTAAGTATTACATAGGGTTAGCTTCGCATCAATTAGAGTTTTGAAACTCTAGATATGAATTAAACTCCACAACTAATTTGGACTCCGAATGGGATTTAGGCTTCTCCACAATTAGAATATGAAATATCGTTTAGAGGCTAAAAAAAACTTGGATTTTGACCCACTATATCATTCCGAAAATATTGAAATGTCCTCTATAAAGTCTTTGAAGACCACTTATTCTAAATCAAACTCTAAAGTTTTGAAAAACCTAAAAGAGCTTTGGAAGGTCTAAGTTAATCAAGCTAGACATCCATATGGTTTCCTTCTTTGTTTTACGCGGCCGTAGTCATTTCTTCTTGTATCACACATGGCCATATGTCTCCTTAAGCTTCCTCAATGGATTTTGGCTTCTCCTTGCTTTTGGATGGCGTTTTTTGCTTCAATTCGATATTTTTCCTACAAAACCCAAAATTATTAACTTTATCTTAATTTTCTAAATATAGTATAATAAACGCTAGAAAGTTCAATGTAAAAGGGAATAAAAATCATGTTGATTATGTACTTATCACTAATCAAGACAATAGACCATGAGGTCCGTATATATTAAAAAACTCAATCCTTTGTTTCAATCATTGGATTGTTCTCCATATGAGTGCTCCACCAAAAGATCTAAATTATCTTCGATCATTAAGAGGTATGTACTTAATTTATTTTTTACTTTAAATTGAATGATACATAGAGTATATATTTAAAACATTTGAATGATCTAATATATATTGTTTGAAAATTTTAAATTTTATTATTATTCTTGTTCTTATTATTTATTTATTATTATTATTATTATATCTTGCATTATAAAATTGTTATCATATCAAACTTCACAAACTTGATTTTTGGTCCTCGACATTTTGAACAAAAATTATTGATCATAAGTGTTTGATGCCGAGAAAACATTCTTTACTTTTCATACAACAACAATATCGAAAAAAAAGGTTTTTAGAAATATTTTGAATTGATTTCATGCTTGCTTATAGCTAAATAACATAAAAAACTAGTGATGAAAAATCATAAATCTCACTCTATCGTGGTCTACTCCATTTATTCAAGTGAATGTGACAACTTATAATAATTCTAAGTATAGTACCGTGACATGGTCATGACCAAGGATGTGCACATAGGTATAATTGTGGTCA